TCCACGAATGAATTTTCTAAAGTAGGAGGTAAGTCCAATAAACTGTCTGATCTCATGAACGTTTTTGGGTCGTCGATATTCAGAGACACATTTGATTTTGGCTTGACCAGGTCGGATTGTTCCTGCAGATATCTCATGGCCCAAGTAATTGACACTTTCTTTCAGAAAAGAGCATTTTTTTAGATTTAATTTTAGACCAGCTTTTTGTAAAAGACCTAGAACACCATCCAATAATTGTATACCGGCTTCTACAGTTACAGTAGGTAGCATTATGTCATCAAGATATATGGCGACCTCGTTTCTAACGTCTTTTAAGGCAAGGCTTATTAGTCGAGAAAACACAGCAGGAGCATTGGCCAATCCAAAGGGTACCTTTAGGAATTCGTAATGTCCGGAGGTTGTTACAAAGGCAGTTTTATGTGTCGAATCATCGGCAAGCTTCACTTGATAATAGCCTTGAGCTAAGTCAAGCGTTGTGAAGTAAAACTTACCTGCCAATTTTGAGATTTGATCGTCAATATGTGGCAAGGGAAACCGATCTTTTATAGTGTGAGAGTTTAAAGCCCTATAATCGACGCATAGCCTATAGTCACCGCCTTTCTTTTTCACCAATATAACTGGACTTGCATATTCGGATGTTGATTCGCGTACTATACCGGCTTCAATCAAATCTTGCACCTTACTATTAACGATTTCGTTTTCTTTCTGTGATAGTCTATATGGCTTAAAGTAAACGGGTTTGTCAGTAGTTGTCCGTATATGCATTTCCATAAGATCTGTGCACCCCAAATCTCTCGTATCCCTAGCAAAGATATGACTGTATTTAGTTAATAGTTTTATGAGCTCATCCTGGTCTCTCTTTTCTAGGTCTCCTACGTCAATTTCACCCTTATTTAGAAGGTTACCGGAACCATCAGGAAGACATAAATCGATATTCAGTACGTCCTGCACATTAGTAGGGGGTAGGGTCACTAGTTCAGCCCGCGCTATTAATTTACGAGCAGGGAAGGAAACTGGTATATTACTCATATTTATAAATTTTAAACACCCTTCGATGCAGATAATTCCTCCAGGTATAGCATAACATAATTTTCCTAATTGCATATAAACAGAATTTGTCAGGAAGTACAAATTGTCATTAGATTCTATATTCACCGTCACATCAATTAGGCTGACGCTTTGTGCTGGTAAAGTGACATCATATTTTAGGTACACATCAAATTTACAATTGAAGTCTAGATTTTCCAATTTAACGTACTTTAGGCAATCATCACCTACTAAAGTTTTTACAAACTTCGCAGAGTTAGAGGTAGTTACCAGACTTACCCCCGGTTGATTTATCATCGGTTGCCCAATAATTAAATCAATATCGGATAGTTCGTAATTAGTTATTTCCACGTAGCCACTTAGACATATTTTGTCTATATGCACAGTTATTTGCGACCTCCCCAACGATTTTATGCAAGTTCCCCCCAAATCCTCTCATTACCGTGGTCGATGCCGCTATTGGTAATTTCAACAATTTTGCTTTATTTTGTGTTAAAATATTTAATTTACTACCCGTATCTATGTAGGCAACCAGTTTTTCTGCGCCGATGTACGCGTAACGCTTATATACATTGCATAACACATCACTAGTGGTAAACAAGATGTGACTCACCAGGGATGACGAACGTTGCTGCGTTGAACCGGGAGTCGCCACAAACCAACAGGTAGCCGAAGTGTGACCGTTGCGTTGACAGTTTTCACAACGTTGTTTTGAACGGCAGTCCTGAGCTACATGTCCTAACCGCCGGCAGATATAGCACCGTCTCACCCCAGTCTGTTGGTCAGTTGTAGAGCTTCCATCGGTTGTACCCCTTTTCCATATTGACTTCCGCATAGGTGTAGGTTCTATTCTCTTATAATTTTCAAATGATGATAAATACCCGTAGTATAATAACTGTGGCGTTCGACATTTGTACGCTTTTGCGTTTGCTTGCAGCTCCACGGGAAGACCTCGGATGATACAAGAGATTGCATTTTCTCCTACGATATTGCATTTCTTAATAAGTGATAATTTATCGTGGAAATAATTAGTCATGGTTTCGGAATCTTTTTTTTGTTCTTGCCAACATCTCTTCGAGCCTGCTGACGAAATCAATGGATCGTGGAAAGGCCATTTCCAAAGCATGTTTCCATCCTTCCCAGTCGAGGTTATAGTCATCTAAGTCATCATACCAACGTCGAGCTGAACCACGCAGACGAAGTTGCATTAAAAATTGTTTTTCGGTTCCATCCCATCCATATATTTCACCAAGCTGATCGATCTTGTGCAACCAACTGCTGACATTACTAGTATTATCTTCAGGTCGAAATTTAGGGATGATCTCAGCGTCGACATGACTCACTCGGCGTTTTTTTTCCGTAGCGGGCGCGTGGTCTTCTGAAGAAAAAAAATTTTGAGTTTCTTCGTTTTCTTCATTCTTCCGGGAACGTTTTCGGCAATATTTCCGTTTATTTTCACCAAGGCCGTGTATGTAGGGGCCCGACATCTTATATCCCAGAACAATTTTATTTTCGGTTTTTCACGAATTATCCCACTTCTGAAATGTAACAGAGTGTGGTTGTCGATTTTCAAATAAAACTTTAATATCGTTTTAATCTAATATATAATTGACAGAGTTTCTGCTTAATGCAACTATGTAAATTACAATGAATCTAGTCGGCGTCATGCTTTTGTTTTTATACCCGCGTTATGCGGTTTACAATTATTCATAAACGGAAGTCGTTTAAAATCACCTACATTATTTATCACATCCGGAATCTAATTCTATACTGTAATTACAAACTTTTTATCGTACTTAAATATTTTAATATACTATAAATCGAATAATAATGCATTTATTTAATCAAGTAATTTTGATTAAGTTAAATTTATTAAATCAAGTGATGTTCAATGATAAGAGGTTTAAGAGTAAGTAAATTTATAATTATGGCTGAGGGCGGGAAACATTTGCTAACAACATGCATTTAATCAAGTGTAACTTTTATTACACTTATCTTACATATCGCTAACAAAATAAGAATCTCATTACACATATTCACCTAACAAGCAAACGCGTTTATCTTATAACCAATACAAATAAGTAGGAATTATAATTACGGTTCAAGTTCTGAATGGTAATTATCAAAGCACTGTACACATAGTCCTGGCCTATCAGAACAGGCGTTACAACACCGGGGCGTGTCGGTACGCTTTTTGTTCTTGGTGCACTGGCGGCATGGCTTTCACTTGAGTCGCCCATTTGGTAAGGTTACAACAGTTTTCTTTATCTGATGAGAAACCAGTCTTCTTTGTATATTTGAAGGTCTTTCTGGTCGATTTTCTGGTAACAGAGCATTTATGACATTCATCCTGTAATCATAAAGAGTCATTTTAGGTTGCCCTGAATATTTGTTGTAAATCTTCATGGAATTGATGAAGAGCAGCTGTAACGTGTGGATTGCTACCTTTATATATCAACGTAAAGTCTTTCCTTCGACTCCTGACATATAGTCGTTATATTTTGATATGACTGCCTCGTTGGTCTAGTGGTTGTAGTAGTGTGACTACTGATCATGAGGTCCTGGGTTCGAATCCCGGGTCGAGCCAAAAATCAATTATTGAGTTTTTCCGTCAAGAAATTCTCAGTAGCTTCCCGGAGTCAGGCAGTTGGCGGTGTCTCACCCCCGTGCCTCGGAAGGTACGTGAAGCCGTTGGTCCTGCGCCTGATCTCTCTCCGATCGTGTCGGTTTACCGTCCCATCGAATTATGAGAGTGAGGCAATAGAGAGTGCACCTGTGCTTGCGCATGCACTTGTGCACTATAATCCCGTCCTGTGCCGATGGCTGGTCTCCGTTGAGGCAGGCCGCCGTGACCGTAATGCGGTCTATTCGGCCACGTTTGTTTGCGACTGGCACCATTCTATCTTCATACTGGGTAGTAATATAAAGTTCAGGACGTTTGTTGTTCTACTTGCCAACATGCACCCCTGCCTGAAACATTGAGCAGTTTTCCCATTTCTTTAAAGTTTTTTGAACTACTTCTCGCGGATTTTCTTTTAAATGTTCAATGTACCGGTGCAATATGTGTTATTATCAAGCAGCTTCTTCGCCAAACCAAAACTGTTATAATAATTGTCCATGTATATTACGTGGTCATTGTTTAGTTTCTCCTGAAGAAGCTGCATGACCACTTTTTCGGCATGTCCCTTTCCTGTGTCTTCGGTGCCTTTTTCGCCCGTATATACTCGGAATTTTAATATCAAGCCATCTGGCTCTGTCAGCGTGTATAATTTTATGCCATATTTGTGGCATTGGTTCTTAATGTTACATGCTTTGGGTTCGTGACAATAAAAACTGCCGATAGAATTACCAAAATTGACACTTTAATTACCGAACACCAATTAAAACTAATACACACTAATAATTAATCACACTTAACACTTTAGTTCATTTTATTTCGCTCCTAAGTCTACTTGTATCGCCAATTCAATACTGCTCCGGTTGCGGTGCTAAACGGCTTTAAATAGGCCTTTTCCACCGAAACATCCAGAATATTCCAGCAAATACCGGCCCCCAACCGACCAGGTGTAGAAAGTTCGAGTGTGGAGCCTTCTAGAAAGCTTAATTCCTCCATTCAATACTAGATGGCGCTAGTGGGAGAGTTCTAGAAGGATCTTGACGCTCCTATTTCTGATATTTGATACCAGATGGCGCTAGTGCATTGTGGCGCGAAACATTAATAAATTGCCGTAAAATCAGTCGCCCTCTCTATAGTATCATACTTTCATCCAGGGACAACTGCGTTGCAGAATAATATCGTTCATTCATCTTTGTTGTTGAAGTAATCAATAATACTCCGTATCCTGAACAACTGGTCCCCACTCTCTTCTGCTGAGCTAAAATGCAAGCCTCGCGTTATGAGGAGAAACCTATTCCCGCTCATTTGTTGTCCAAAAATTGGTATCGAGAACAACCTATCCCTTTTCCAGTAGTCTTGATGTCGACTGAGAGGGATAGTTCACATGTGGAACAACAATACAAGAAAAATCCTCAGCTCCGGGACAGCGATCGGTTTCCAGCCAATTATCCTTGAACTCTTCTTTGTCATTGTTGTCTCCACTCAGTTCTTTGCGCAGTTTTGTCTCTGCTTGTTCCAATTTATTTATAATTAATTTATGTTCAGACTTATCACAGAATTTATCACAACAATGATTTAACACTGACACATTTTCTACAGGAAAATATACTAATCTTAATTTATTATTACAATACACTGAATATAGGTTAATCTGTTGACTATCCCTGTGCCCCCAAATTACCCTATTTGTAGTTTTAGACTGGATGGACTGGACTTGCAGGATCCTAAGCTAATTTTATACTTCACTTCCAAGGGATAGTGATCAGACCACGTCACATTGTTTCTTACGTGTATGATGCTTTCAACATATTTCTTAGCCATACACGTTACAAGGCAATGGTCCAACCATCGTGAGCAGCCGTGAGCATTACTGGTGTATGTGCATAAATTCCATTTTCTTGACATCATTTCATAGTCAGCACATACTCGCGTCTACTCATCGCAAAAACTAAGCATTTCATTAAAAAACAGCTCCCCCGGGTGTGCGCTAAAGTCGCCTAACATAAAAACTATACTAATATCACATTCCTCAATAATTGCGTTAATTTCACTTATGCACTCTATGAATTCCGCAAGGTTTTCGACACAGTCTGTCGGCATATAGACATAGAAAAAGTAAGCATAGCTTGTTCACGTACTTGACACTTAGTCGCACACTGCCTCACACTATTACATGTTACTACAGACACCGAAGAAAACACATTCTTACGCCATAACAGCGCAACACCCTCGTGTGGTCGACCACGCAGAATGCCCACGCCTGAATTTACAGCAGTAGTACCCGTGGCTTCAAAGTCTTAGTGGACGATGCTGAGGTATGAGAGGTCGTGGTCCATTAGCCGGGTCTCTTGCAATGCTACTACCGAGGCACCCTCACACTATCTACCGATTGCTTCAGGTACTTACAATTAAAGCTAACAAGGTTTAATGTCCGACTTTCATGACTATTTTTGTCCTGACCCATTATTTATGTTGTTCTCTTGATCCAACAGTGTCTTTTTCACATTTCTAAATATTATAAATCGTCTAAAATATATGCCTTCCGGCCATAATTTATCGTCACTAAATAAGGACAACTTATTCCTAGGTATATAGAACTTAAAAGAAATATAATCCCTCGCAGATTTCATATGTACTTTTTCTGGCACAATACGAATATGTGTCTTTTCGAATACATAATACGCAACATCTTGCTCTGTATTCTCCTTTGAGACATTATAAATAAATAGCGGGATTCGCACATCGGCTGGCCTTCATTTAAATTCAAATTTATTTATTTGTTTGTGAATACAGGTAATGAGACAGAATAGATCTTATATATATGTTATATAAATATGTTCGCTGCATTCAACCCATAGGTATACAAATATTACAGTTACAATTAAATATATTACATTTCCACAATTATTTCATTTTATTGTTTATATTATAATTATATGAGAAAATTCAACAATGATGTAATAATTAATTAGAATGGGATATTTACAATAATATATTATCTAATCAAAATTCAAATGAATTATATTATATTTTTTTACGTCGATTGTTTGTTGTTAGGTAATCATTAAATATTATCTATTATTAAGTGACGGATCTATCAAAGCCTTTCCCCGCATGCCTTTAAAACGTGACGTCTTACGCCTTACGACCTGAACCCATTCTCCTTCACTATTATTGTGTATCTCGGCTTCCCCAGCGCCGCCCGTTGTGTTCTCGCGTGACGTCACCGCAACAGCTGGCACCGCAGACGACGGCACGTGCGAAGTGCATTCTTGATCGTCGCAGTGGGCCTCCTGTCCGTGGTGGATCTCCATGTGTTGCCGTTTCTGCCCGGGAGCGACAGAGAGAGGCTCACCGGTTGACACCGCCGCAGCTCTCGCGTAGGAAGGAGATGTGTGCGCGATAACTCGTTCTTGCATAGATATGCTCGGCGGTGTATCACTTCCTAGGTCGGTCGTTAACCCCATCGGCCCGCTTGTGGAGTCATAACTATCTTGCAGGCAAAAGCTGCCCCTCCTGTTATTCACACAAGGCTCCATTTTCCTCGTTTTTCCATACAATGTATCCGGATTGTTTTCTTTGTCTTCGACATATTTTTCAAAATCTTTTTTTGTCATATAGTCGTTCTGTTTCTCTTGTAGATCACGTACCTGAGTCTGAAGCAAAAGAATATCCTTCAATAGACGCGTAGCGTCGACATGGTCAAATGTAACGGGCGGTAACTTATGTAGATCTTTTGCCACAAATATAGGAATGTCATTGGATTTAGAGGGGACCCCATAGATAACCCTCTTTTTGTAGATAGAAACGGTTATTAAACCGGAAATATTTGTGTTTCATACAGAGAGAGGTTAAGTTAAGAAGATCATTTGTTTCCCCGGAATGTAGATGACGTTTATCAAAGAGATCTGAGAGTATACGCAAACAATCAGGTGATGGGATATTTGTGAAAAGACTATCAACGTTTAAAGATAACAACATATATTTAGGTGGAATACGAATATCTTTAATTTTGGAACTGAGATCTAAACTATTTTTAAGGCTGTAAGTTGGGTTGAAACCCGATTTCTCCCGAAGGAGGAAGTCTAATTTTTTTGCAAGGAAATAAGCTGGTGCACCTATGAGACAACTGAACGAATAGGAACATGTTCTTTATGTATTTTTGGTAACCCATATAAAGTGGGTGCTTGAGGATTCATTGGAACAAGATTGCGCCTAGACAAGTTGTGATCGGGAAAAACATATGACGACTTTTGTATACATACTTTAATATCCGAACTAAACTTTTTGGTTGGGTCAGACTCCAATAGCTCAAAGTCGTCACCTTGGATAACATCGTTAACCTTCTGGCTGTACCATCTACTCTCCATAATGACAACAGTATTTCCCTTGTCGGCCTTAGTAACAATAAGGTTATTGTCTTTTATTTTCTGCTTTAGTGACATAAAAATGGGGAACTCAGGATTGCGATGAGAATGTAATAGTGGAGACGAACTGTCCACTATTAACAGACTCCGAGTGGTTTTCTTTAAGGTGGAGAAATGAAACTACTGTTTATGTTTATGAATGTACTGTCGAATGGGATTCGGAATGGAATATCTTTTGCATCAACCTTGCCTATATTTATATGGCTGGCTCACTATTGATTTGCCAATGGTAACAATTAATATTTTGCCTAGCCAATTATATTGCTTATTTTATGACCAATGAAAACTATTTAAAATATACAATTATCTACGTTTCGTTTCCCGGCGTGAGACTTGTTTGTTGTTCACGAAGCTACGTCGCTGGACCGGGCTATATAAGACATGCAGATCGGTGCGCACGCGTAGTCGGCGGGCGGCGGCGGTGTGGAATACAGCTCCGGAACAGCAAGAGGAAACGAACTGCGGCGTTGAAGAAACGGCTCACCATTGGTCGACGGATACGTGACGATAGCGGCGTGTGAAGTCGGTGTGGCGCTGAATGATATTTGCGGCTGCTTCTTGTTTCTTTATAAGAACGTCAAATTATCTATATACAGTCCGCAGTATCTCAGTAGCCAAGAATAATTAGGAAATAAAATGTTTTTTTATTTATTCCCGTTTAGGTTTGATTAATCTGGCTGCTACATCACTCTCCCCCCAGCGAAAGCGTACCGGAGGCTTGACGACTCGCCCGTATTTCGTAGTTTTTAAAATAGGTTTCAACTGGGTTGATGTAGATGATGAATTTTCAAGCTTCCTCGCTGGTGGTTTTGATGATGATGATGAATCCTCTGCAGTATCCTCGTTAATAATATAGGCTGGCTTTAGTCGGTCGATCGATATAATCGTAGATTTCCTTCCGGGTATTTGTAGTTTAAAAGTCTTGCTATTTCTCTCTAATACTTTATACGGTCCATCGTAGGTAGGTTGAAATTGTTTTTTCATTGCGTCGTTTCTTACAAAAACTTGCTTGCATGTTTTCAAATCTTGGTGAATGAATACTGATTTATTATTTCTGTGTGATTGCATTTCGGTGCATTTCAACGATAAGGCTTTGTTAATTGATTCTCGAAGTTTAGTTACGAAATCGTAATCCATTTCTTGTTTGCTTGACGCTGCTGAACTGAAGAAGTCACACGGCAGCCTTATGCTGCAGCCGTAGGTTAGCTGAGCGGCGCTAAGACTAGTGTCTGCACGCGGTGTTGCTCGTAGTCCGAGTAGCACTGTAGGTAGCTCATCAATCCACTTTGTATGTTGAGATAAACAAGTTTTGAGTGCAGTCTTTAATGTACGATGCCATCGTTCGATTATTCCGTTTGACTGAGGATGGTATGCTGTTGTACGCGTCTTCTGTATTCCCATAGTTTGAAGAAGTTTGAGGAATAGGTTGCTTTCGAAATTCCTTCCTTGATCCGTTGTGATGGTTTTAGGTGATCCGAAACGAGTAATCCAATTTTCATAAATTATCTTCGCGACGGATTCGGCTGAAGTATAATCGGTAGGTATTGCTTCTGGCCATCTTGTTGTTCTGTCGATCATTGTTACGAGATAACGATGTCCTTGCGGTGAAGTAGGTAATGGTCCAACGATGTCAACGTGCAAGTGTTCGAATCTCTCCGTGGGTGGAAATGTAGCTAGACTACTTGATGTATGCCTTTGTACTTTGCATTTTTGGCATTGAATGCATTGCTTCGCCCAGTTGCCAACATCCGCTTGCATTGCAGGCCAAAAGAATTTTTCAGTGATGAGTTTTCTTGTTGTTCTAACACCTGGATGACTAATGTTGTGCAGTGTATTGAAGACTTCGCGACGACATTCTTCTGGTATGTATGGTCGCATGGTTGTCGTTGAGGCTTCACAGTACATAGATAGATGCGTCATTGGCATTGTAACTTGCTTGATGGACAAGTTACCTTGCTTCGATAGATGTTTTATGTTGTCACTATCTCTGTCTTGTGCTGCGGCGATCTTATGATAGTCGATTGATGTAGGGCACGTTACACTGTCGATTGGTACGCGACTGAGTGCGTCGGCAACTATGTTGTCCTTTCCACTGATGTGACGTATGTCGGTCGTGAATTCACTTATGAAAATAAGTTGTCTTGCTCTTCGTGGTGTTTCCGATAGTGATGGTTTCTTTGGAAGTACATATGTTAATGGCTTGTGGTCGGTAAAAACGATCAGGTTTCGACCCTCGAACGTTTTTCTGAAGTGCTTGATAGCCATGTAAATAGCGAGTAGCTCTCGGTCGAATGTACTGTAGTTACGTTGAGTATCGGAGAACTTCTTCGAAAAATATCCAAGTGGTTGCCATTTCCCATTGCTGTATTGTTGGAGAACTGCTCCTGCTGAGAGATCGGATGCGTCGCTGAAGATAGCAAGGGTTGCTTCGTGTGATGGGTGAGCGAGTAAAGCTGCATTTTGGATCGCAATTTTACAAGCTTCAAATGCCTTCGTGGCTTCATCGTTCCATTCGATTGACTTTTATCTTTTTTCTTCGTGTTGTGAAGGTAGGCGTGAAGTGGTGCTTGGATTTCAGCGGCTTTAGGTATGTGTTCTCTGTAAAAATTTATCATCCCAAGAAAACGCCTTAGCTCTTCGATAGTTTTAGGTTTTGCATAATCGATGATTGCTCTGACTTTTTCGGCAGGCGGTTTTATTCCTTCCTTGCTGACGGTGAAACCAAGAAATTGAACTTCTTGCTGTCCAAATATGCATTTCGAAGGGTTGATTGTGATTCCGTTGTCTTCTAATCGCTGTAGCACGGTGCGTAGATGGGTTTCGTGCGTTTCTTTATCAGGGCTTGCAACAAGGAGATCATCAATAAATGCGAAAACGAAATCCAGTCCATGAAGTACTTCGTGTATGAATCTTTGGAAAGTTTGACCTCCGTTCTTTAATCCTGGGATCATTCTTGGGAATTCGAATAATCCCATTGGGGTAATTATTGCTGTCTTCTCTATGTCTTCATCGCGGACTCTTATTTGTTGGTAAGCTCGGTTGAGATCGATGGTGGAGAATATAGTCTTGTCTGATAGTTGATGAGTGAAATCCCTGACTCGCGGTATTGGGTAGCGGTCAGGAGTGGTAATAGAATTCAGTCTTCTGTAATCTCCACAAACTCGTAATTCTCCGTTCTTCTTCGGTACAATGTGAAGTGGTGATGACCAAGGGCTTTTGCTTGGACGGCATATTCCTTGCTCAATCATGTTTTCGAATTCCTTTCGAACTTGCTCGTATAGGTGTGGTGCGATTGGACGTGCACGACAATGAAGTGGTGGTCCATTGGTGTCGATGAAATGCTCAACGTCGTTCTTCGGTGTTAATTTCATTGAAGTTATTCTTGTGATACCAGGGTATTCTTCGAGGATCTTGTGATACGGTTGTTGCACATCTATGCTTCTTATTGTGGGCAGATTGGTTGCTTGTACAAAAGACTGAGATGCAAGATTGGTTTTCCCGTCGATGATTCTTCTATTTTTGATGTCGACGACCAACTGGTGATGTTGAAGAATATCAGCACCGATGATTGGTTTGCTGACTTTAGCGACGATAAATCTCCATTTGAATGGTCGGCGTAGATTAAAATCAAGTTCCATTGTTTTTTCTCCATATGTAGGAATAACCGTATTGTTTGCTGCATAGAGTTGAAAATCTAGTGGCTTCAACTTCTGTCCTTGCTTCGGCGGTAACACTGAGATATTTGCTCCGGTGTCGATAAGGAAAGTAAGCTTGCTTTTTTTATCGGTGACGAAAAGACGGTAGGACTTTGCTGTTACGCTGGATCCCGTCGCATCGAGCGTACTAGTTAGTTTTCCGTATTCGTATTTTCATTTTTGAATGTACACGGTGCTGTGCATTTTCTTGCCTCGACCCCGAAACGTCGATGATAGTAGCAGTAAGGGGATCTTGATGTTGAGCTTATTCGACTTCTACTTGCAGAGCGGTTGCGACGAAAAGGTGATCTTCGGTGTTGCTGATTGCGCTGGTTGTACTGTTGCTGGTAAAAGGTATGATGCTGGGAAGCTTTGAGCGCGGCGACTTCGAATGATAGCTTCCGAATTTCTTCGAGAAGAAACTGGGTATCATTGGCCTTTGTTGAAGTGCCTTCGATGATCGATATGTGTGAGCTACTGCTGTTTTCGATCATC